CCGGGTCTGGGAAATCCACTTTGGCCAAGAACTTGGTGATACAGCACCATGGTTTCTCAGATGCAGAGGTAGAAATGTCCAATCTGAAAAATCACATTTTCTTACTTTATCATGAATGCAGGAATGTTTCAACAAAAGAATTTACAGATGTAGTAGAAAAAAACTTCGAGAATGTGTGCCAGAAACTCGGCCCTAAAACTGTTGTACAAGAAATCGCCGAGTCTAACCCTTTGATTCTCATTGATGGCTTTGATGAATGTAATAAAGACTCGTATAAGGTTGTGCCAGAGATTGTGGACAAAATGAAAAAACATGAGTGTCGTGTGATCATCACCACCAGGCCAAGTGCTGCTGATGAGCTCAAGGACTTTTTGAAGCGAGAAGGTGTGAAGTTCCAAGAGTATGAGATATCAGAAATTTGTGATTCAGATGACCAACTAAGATTTCTAAAGAAGTATGAAAAGTATGTCACTCCGCATGATGAGAAAGTTGTGAAGAGTTTCAGGTCTCTTGGACCGAACATTCAAAAACTTTTTGTTCGTCCCATTAATTTGGTTCTCTTTTGTCACCTGGTCTGGAACTTTCCCGAAAAGATAAATGATTTGAAATCTCATGCTGCTGTAGCTCAAGTTACATATGATCTGTATGAGAAAATTATTCAGTCAAAGCTGGCCTCCCACGCCATTGTTGACAAGGCTGGACTTATCGATTCTTTCTTCCAAGACTTAGGCAATTTCTCCTTGAAGACGATTTGTGAACATCGTTTGGTTTTCCCTGAAAATGAAGTTGAGGATTTGAGACGCAGGATCAGATCAAATCTCAAAGAATATGGGGCGCTTGGGACGCTTGATCCTAATGCTCTCCTTGGTGTTGTCTTGAAAATGAAACGTCCAATGAAAAATTCTAAGTCGTGCACATATTTCTTTCATCACAAGAGCATACATGAACTGTTTGCTTCCAAACCTGTCTTAATGGAGCTCCGCAAGAATAATGCCTTACCGCCCATCCTGACGTCACAAAAATTAAAAAATGTCAAGTGAGTTTCCTGTTGGGAAAGATTTAATTGAGTTTCTTAAGACTGTCTCTGAGATAGTAAACTCTTGCGGTTGTCGTTAGAGGATTCCATTATATTTCTATCAGACCTGATTTCACCTACGACTCACAGGGCTAGATTATCTAACGAATTATTTTTATAGGGATACCAAGTTAATTTAGGTCTCACTACATTAATTTGATCTAATTAATAAGTGTCTCACGGTACATATCTTCCGGTGCTGTTCTACAATGCGGAAAAATGTAGTTTTCACTATTACGAAATTAGTTTAACAATCATAGTAGCGGCACTTATACATGATGTTTTCTATGTAAATCAGAATGATTCCATATGAATTTAACGTGAATATGACGATTGTTCTTGTGATTTAGATATAGATAACTTTTACTAATAATACTTGACTAATAATATTAGCAGGCCGCTCGAAGTGCTCACGTATGTGTTCATGGAGCTGAGTGCTGCTGAGGAGTCCACTGTCTTCTGGGACAACTGGCCGCTCCTGCGCGACGCTATGGAAGGCGTTGACACGAATGACTGGGTGAAAATCTTGCTGCAGTGTCCTGACTCCCAACATATTGCTGAAGCGATTGCCGGAGTCTTCTCGGCACTCAGCAATAGTTGGATCCTTGACATAGGTAATATTTTTATTCAGTGCCTTAAATGCCTGGGAGATTCTACTTTTGGTATTGCACCATCAAATCGCCATAAAACTTTATGTGCGGAAGAAATTCTTGATAGTTACTTTTTGATGGTTGTTTACAGGCCTGGTTGTCATTAGTGGGACATAAAAGTCTCATACGCAATGAAATCTGATATATTGCGGAACTATTACATTCCCTCAATATACGCTCCCTTTTATCTGTGGGTATGCCTTTACTGCTGAATTCACACACCTCCTAAAGACCGTTTGGTTAACACAATTTTTTCTTCTATATGTCCAAGATAAACAGGAAGATGTAAAAGAATTGAATGTTGTATAGGATTAATCAACAGAAATAAAATATAAATCTTGCAATAATTATAAGATAATCTAATGATGTGAGACTTATTTATATAGATGAATGTAAATTCCTAGACCACCGCTGATAGTGTGGGCATTACTCTATTTGTTTATTCCTTTCATTCATCACTCTGCTGTCATCATATTAACTTTGTCATGCCTTCGACTGTCAATCAGTAATACTGGCCTGTAGTGCCAGTAATACTAATAATAATACGTCATACTATGTAATATAGTGGGCGTTGAAAAAAGTTGAATGAGTCACAATGCTGCATTAATGCAGCACGATATTTTCTCAGGTGGTTTTTTCGTACTGTAACCAAGTGAAGAGGAATTGCGCTTGAAACGAATATGGATAGAATGTTTTATAGCCACATTCCCACTACAATTGTCGTTATTCAATAACCTAGAATGAGCTAAAGCGTCCTGTGTTGCTAATAAAATCTATTTGTTTACTGATTAAAAAAGATATTGCAAAACAAAGTCCACATTAATAATAAAACAAACAACGGAAAATAAGGTCAACATTGAAAGTGTTTTATTTATAGACAACACGATTTACGAAAGCAACGTAATCTGATGTATACAATGCCCGAATTACAATGCATATCTTTGTGCACATTACATAAAACATAATATATTAATTTTTGGTACCGACCTGATACGCGGTGACCATAAAAAGAATAGCATTCACCTCTCTATCATTCGTCACAAATAATCATCACTCTTGATCTACCTATCATCACTCTCTCAAAGTAGCATCCCACTCTTTGACACTCATAGCCTTCCATTCTACCATCCCACTTTCTACACATTATCTCTCCCTCCATACGCATTATCTCTCTCTCTCTCTCAGCCTATCATCCCACTTTTTCACTATTATCCCTCTTTCTGTTTATCATCCCTCAGCTAACAACCCTTCACCCTAGCCATCGCTCCTCTCTTCATATCATTCTTCTCTCCCTATAAAATCGCTCTCTTCTCCTTTCAAATCTCTCTTTCTATTTACCTAGCTTCCCTTTCTGTACTTATCACATTCCTCTTCATCCGTCCCTTTATATTAATCTTGATTAATCATCCATTTTTCTAGACGAGGATGGCTGGCCTTCTATACATATGTTACCGATACTTTTATACTTACCAACTCTTATATATAGCTATTGAAAACACGGCCGAGTGGGGGATAAATAAGGCAATGTCAACTAAATAATTATTTATTAATTGACCGCCGGAAGAAAGCAACGCTTCGAGAGCCGAGGATGGCAGTGACCACCATCGGACGCGCCTCCCGAGCTTCAGCCGACTCGCCCGCTTTCAACTAGATATAGGTGTTTGCACTGCGCAAAGGAAATGGATATATTCGTATTAATTTGAAACGTGAAAATTATAGACTAACAGTAAGTCTTGACTATTCGTAAATATAGCTCACATGATAAGAGAGACGGATATGGACCAAGATTACTAAGTATTAAAGCATTAGCAATACGTATGACACAGGACTTCCAATTTACACTTAATGAATATGGGCACGAGTGGAGGTTCTACCCTCCATATTGGAGGGACAAGGCACCATGAAGAGCTTTAAGCGAGCACTACGCGTTAGTTTTCGCAGCTCACCTCCGTGAATGCAGAACCAGCAAGTTCGTAATTGGAAGTCCGGTCAAATGGTTCGAGGCATTAATTTTATAAATCGCCGAGCTACCAAAACTAAGTGAAGGTAGGAAGATACCTTCAGTTTTCTCATTATTTTTATCTCTCATTATTTACTTTTCGACTCCATTCAACTCGCTTTTTGTCCATCATCCTTGTCTCTACCTCTCTACGTTACTCAACATACCTTTTCACCTATCATCCATCTATCGCTCTACCCAAGCTCACGCCACATCAGGCAACAAGTATCCTCATCCTTCGTCCGCAGCTGGAGACGTGACGGCATGGGCATTAATGCTGCCTCATGAGCAGTTTCAAGACATCAACATCAAGATGCCAGCTGCGGTGCTGCGCGCTGCAGGCACCAGCTGGTCTGACCTGGCGCGGCGTTACGAGGGACAACTGAGGCTGGACATCAGACCAGCAGGAGAGACAGCAAGCCCCGAGCCCTGCGACGACCTGCTGGAGTGCCTCAAGGGCTCCAGGTCAGTCACATTTGCCTCCTTAGTGGTCATAGTTTAAGTCGGTTTTACTCGTGCGCAATGATTTTATGAGGTGCTATAAAAAAACGAAATTTTATGATGTGCTCTAAAAAAAACGAGACTCAGGATCATTTGAAGACAATTATTTGATTCAGGATTATTTGATCATTTGAAGAAGATTGTTAAAAACAATCCGCATAGATTATAGTTTTTATGTTCAGCACAATTTAACTCAATTGAGAAGAAAAGCATGGACAAGAAGATTAGAATACATGGCAGGATATATAGTGCAGATGCTAAGCATGAACATGTAGAGCAGAATACATGGCAGGATATATAATGCAGAAGCTAAGCATGAACATGCAGAATAGTGTAGTTCAGGTGCTCGCGGCATTCATGCGGCTCGGAGCATTTCAGAGCATTCGAAGTGTTCAGAGCGTCCATTTCGTTCAGAGCGCTTAGAACGTTCCTTTCACTTCACCCTAGCACCACGCTAGGAAGCATCACGCTAGGAAGCACCACGCTAGGAAGCACCACGTTCGGAACATTCTTTGCCATATTTTACCCCTATTAATAATTGTTTACTGCTATGAATAGATTAAGTAAATTCTTCAATTTTATTATTCCTACCCAACAGCCCGGCTTTCTAATTAATTTGCAATAACTATAAGTGCTTATTCAGCTCCTCTGGCGCTGACATCAAGACACCACCCACAATTCTGTCGCAGGTGTCAGCTAACTGAGCTGCATTGCGGCATCAGCAGCGCTGCTGGGGTGGACGCTGTGGCGTCGGTCGCTACCGCCGCAACTGCGCTGTACATCGCACTCCCCGCCCCCCTCAGCCTGCACGCCCTGCACGGCAAATATAAGAGCCTAGGTGAGGGCGGTGGTTTGGGGTATGCAGCCTTGCAAGAACTGGTGCAGCAGCACCAAGTTTAGCCTAACGACCTCGTTATAAGGATAACTCTAACAATTTTAGTTAGTTTACTTTAGTGCCCGCATGTTTAGATAATTTAATTGTTACATTTACATACATTTTGTTAGTCGTAATTTTCGTTATACGCCGTCTCCTAGTTTAAGGCTCAAATGCACTTGATGTCTTCGGAGAGGCGTGCTGCACGGTAAACAAAGGCAAAAATGAAAATTTGTCAACGCTTCACTGGCCACGTGACCGCCTCACGTGTGATTGGTATGATTGTTCACCCACTGGCCATTCGGTATGATTGTTCACAATTAGGCTGGCTGAGTTTTTGACGCCTTTCTTTGCAACCATGCTGGATATTAGTTAGTAGCAGTTGGCATGCTAAGCAACTGGGCTGATTAACGACTGACAGCAATACATTGAGTGCTAGCCATGTAGCGAAGGCTGGCAGCCATGCAGTGAAGGCTGTCAGCCAAACAGTTAATGCTGTCTAGCAGTTATGGCTGTTAGCCATGCAGTTATGGCTTGTCTTGCAGTTATGGCTGTTAGCCATGCAGTTATGGCTGGCAGCCTTGCAGTTATGGCTGATTGTCTTGCAGTTATGGCTGTTAGCCAGGCAGTTATGGCTGGTGGCCATGCAGTTATGGCTGGTAGCCATGCAATTATGGCTGGTAGATATGCAGTCATGGCTGTTAGCTATGCAGTTATGGCTGTTAGCCATGCAGTTATTGCTGGCAGACAGGCAGTGACAGCCAACAACCACACTGGGTGAGTGCAGGCGGCTGTGCTGGGTGAAGTCTGGCCCTCGTGTTGCCATAAGCACAGCAGTTCCCACGCGTAATATTGGTCGTTGTTTGACTCGCAGTCGTGCACATTTGGCCGCTGGATGCCCCCTGGCCTACCGCACGCCAGCGGGCCCATGGAGCACTTGGAGCGTTCACTTGGTTCAGAACACTTGGAGCGTTCTTTCCGTTCATAAGAAGGGGCACGACGCCGTGCCAGGAGGGGCACGACGCTGGGGTCGAGAGCCCGCCCAGCCCCCGAGCTGACGTGCGTCTGCCAGCCCTGCCCCCGCCGCATCTGTGGGTGTGGGGCGCCCGGCCCGGCAGCTGTGAGGCCATCGCCCGGGCCATCAACAAAGTCGCCCCACACACCAAAAGGTTATTTACTTCCTGTGATAGAGGAGGAAGCATTCAGTTTATGATCACTTAATTGCCTCTATCGAAAATTAATTAGAAATTAATAAGAAGTACTACACCACACTAATTTTCCAAATATTAATTAGAAACGTTCCATCGGATAAATCATATCGTCCCGCGTCCGATAGCATTTTTTAAATTTTAAATTACATTACCCATGTTTCTAACATTAGTACAATCATTACACCAAGTGAATTTTAAATTATGTTAATAATTTAAAATTCTTGATCTCTGATTTAATCACCAAATAAAAGCCTCGCCTCAATCCGCTGTTTGTTACTCATGATTGGAATTGTAAAAAGGTAGATTCATAAGCCCGTGTAGATTTACCGTTGCCTTGTCTTCTATTTGATTTTTATTCTATTTGATTGATTTATTCCTCAGCATCTATTCTGTCTATTTCAGCTGTGTTGCTAGCCAATAGATGTTTTCAATGATGCTTAACTGCTTATATATGAGAAATTTAATTGTGTTCCACACGTTTGTTACACGCTGGGGACACGGGATGCTCTGCAGGTCCGTATATCCAGGAACATGTTAGCAGGGATCAGTGGATGCTCATCTGTTGGTCCGTGTGCAGACTGGAGAGCATAAGGCTGTACCGCTCCAAGCTGGGAGAGGATGAGCTGCGGCAACTGCTGGAGGACCTGCAGCGCGAAGGAGTCCGCAGTGGCGCCGCTGGCAACACGCGATACAAAAGAGATCCGTGAGTCTCAGTAGATACCGACACACGTGACGTGAGTCTCAGTAGATACCGACACACATGCCGTGAGTCTCAGTAGATACCGACACACATGCCGTGAGTCTCAGTAGATACCGACACACGTGCCGCGAGTCTCAGTAGATACCGACACACATGCCGTGAGTCTCAGTAGATACCGACACACGTGCCGTGAGTCTCAGTAGATACAGACACACGTGCCGTGAGTCTCAGTAGATACAGACACACGTGCCACGAGTCTCAGTAGATACCGACACACGTGCCGTGAGTCTCAGTAGATACCGACACATGTGCCATGAGTCTCAGTAGATACCGACACACGTATTTACAGTGCCTGTACATACGTATCTACATTTCATGTAACAGTAATACATAAAATATTACAAATACTTATGCTGAAATTATTGAATTATTAGTTTCTCTGCAAATTTATGATCAAAGTTATTTATGTTCAAAACATCAACTCGTGCAAAATTATCTCTGTTTGATAGCCTGTATTTAGTTAATATCTGCACTAAATTACCCACTTTATTAACAAACATGAGACAGTTGTTGACGAGTAATAAGTGCCACTAAACCAGCCTCCAATTAATACAAACTTGGCCCGTTAATTCCCGGCAGTGACGGCGTCGTGAGGCTTCACGTGACGGACGTCCTCCGTGACCCCGACGGGTGAGTGGGGCTGGCTTGGCTGGGTGAGTGACTTGGGTGATTTACTCTGCACTTGGGGAGTGACCTGGGGTGCTCAGGGTTCTCTGGGTGATCTACGTGGGTCAACCCTTGGTCGTCTTGTGAGCATTGGGGATGACATTAACTTTACGTAGTGAGTGACCTTGAAGATTGGGTAGGTCATCCGGTGCTAACAGAATGGCGGCCGCCATCGCACAGCTTTTACATATCCTGCCGTGGCCACCAGAGCCCCATAACGATGAAAATATATGTAATTGGGGAAATAGATAAATTATTTTAAATAAAAGTCATACAAAACAATGTCTTACACAACTTGAAATTCAAAAGCGAAGAAAACTCCAAACTTTAAAAGCGAAGAAAACTCCAAATTGGAGTCCAAATTTTATTAATTTTCTGACTGTATATGTGTTCTAGATTTATCGAACTGACGATGGAGCTGGTCTTCGAAACATTGTCAATAGAAATATGCTGAATTTTTGTGGAGTTTTCTTCGCTTTTAAATTTCTAGTAAATCTGCAATTCAAGCAATAGCGACATTATTACACAACTTGAAACAGGTATCCAAAAACGTTTATGATTTATAAGGTAAAACATAAGCATTTTTTGGATACCTAGGCATGTCTTTGATGGGCAATGCAAGTCTTGCCAAGCTCATGAGAGTTGAGCGGACTGCTTCAAGTCTCCTCCACTCACAGGATTGTGGAGGCCGTAGGCCAAGTCCACACTAAACTGCAATCCATCAACGCTGAGGACTTCGAGGCGCAGTGGCAAGAAATGCAGCGCACCCTGCAGGAAGCGGGCGCCTCAGCGCAGGACTGGCGAGAGGCGCTGCTGTGCCGCCCCCACGAGGCGAGGCTCGCCATCACAGCCGCGCAGGCCACCAGGGCGGAGGACGGGCAGTTCATGATAACGTGCGGTGAGATGCGCGCTTGTTTGTGCATTTAAACGAACCAGTTAAATGAACGTAATTCAGCATACAAAAGTCAGACGTTAGTCAGAGGAATTTTAGATGTGGGTCAGCTGACTGTTGTTTATTAAGAAAAACTATTTGTTTCGTTAGCAGGCATGAAATAAAGCACAACGCAACTTCTTACAAGCGCGTATCCCGCAGGCCGTGACCTGGAGGCGGTTGCCCTGATGCTGCCACAGGACGAAGACTTGGCCGTGACGGTGCAGGCGTCGCCGGAAGTTCTGAGGACACCCGCGTGGCAGCAGATTACCCGGCACCACCGCGGGGACTTGCGGCTCCGTCTTCCAGTCATAGACTCAGAGTTCCTGCCCTGCGACGACCTCCTTCAGCAGCTGGTCGGCAGCAGGTGAGGCGTCAACTCTTCCGCTTCCCGCCTTGCATGATAAATGAATTGAGTTTAATGTTATCAATGGTCATGCATGTGGTGTTGGATGAGTTTAATGTCATCAATGGTCATGCATGTGGTGTTGAATGAGTTTAATGTTATTCATGTGGTGTTGGATGAGTTTAATGTTATCAATGGTCATGCATGTGGTGTTGGATGAAGTCCAGAGGCAGCTGAGAAATTATTTTTCCAATTAGTTATTAGCTATGTCATATATATTAGTTATATTATAATAGTTATATTATATTACTTATATAATACTTATTCGTATTAAAATAGCTATAATATTATAGTATTAGTTATGATATAATTATTACAATAATGAATACATTATGAGATATCAATGCCATAAAATGTTAGAATAATCAATAATTATCATTATTATAAAGCAAAAAATTTACACGCCTTTAACAAGAAGGCAATCTGAGTAAACAAGTAAGGTAGCAATAATAAATAATAAATAAGGTAGGAATAAACAAATAAGGAAATACACTGATTAAGGTCGTAATTTGCTGCCACGCGCGTTGAATTTTGTTTAATTCTAAATTATTTTACATCATTATCATTCTTATTGAGAACAAAAATTTTCATAATGAATATTTAAATACATTTTAATGTTATCATTTTCTGCATTATTTGTTTATTATTCAACTCCGGTCCAACTTCAGGAATATTATGAACTTCCTGCAGGTGCAGAGTTAAGGTTTTCTTCGGTCCAACTTCAGGAATATTATGAACTTCCTGCAGGTGCAGAGTTAAGGTTTTCTTCGGTCCAACTTCAGGAATATTATGAACTTCCTGCAGGTGCAGAGTTAAGGTTTTCTTCGGTCCAACTTCAGGAATATTATGAACTTCCTGCAGGTGCAGAGTTAAGGTT